TCTCCTGAAGTTTTGTGTTTTAGTGGATGAAAGCCTGAACTTCACAGCACCCTTTCTTTCTAAGTCCATCTCCTGGGAGAACTTGAAGCTCAGCACCATTATTACTTGAATCAACATTAATCTCACCATCTATCTGTTGGATAACATTTTTAATCTCAGATGAATAAACTTGTAATTCTTACTAACAGGCTCAGTCTTTGGCTATGGTTTACTGAAGTTTAAAGGTATAGTGCAGGATTTTCGTGACTTTTTGAAAAGACCTGCCCTCTCCACTTAAAAAAAAAAGTGCACATGCACAACCCTGTACCCGCTCCTGAGAGCATAAGCCTATTAAACTCGTGCAAGAGCGTGCACAAGCCCATTCCTCATGCAAGCTCTGTTTAAAAGCTGCTGATTGTATCAATCATACAAGCTTACTTTCCAAAAGATTTGCAATTTTTCCCACTATGTCAGACTCGCCACCAGTAAGTGAAAATGGGGATGAGCACGTAGGACGGACTTACATAAACATATCACCAGAATGAGTGACAATCATGAGCACCACTTATTTTGATGATCCACCCGGATACCTGTAAGGTGCAGATTCAAAAATTACCTTATAATTAAATTTGTCATGTTTCTTCTGTCATATTTGATTATAAATTTATGATTAAAAAGCCTTTTTATGTTGGAATTAAAATGTTCTCTGGTTTAAAGCTTAATTCTGTTACAAAACCTTGAAATTGAAGCAGAACATTTTTTTAAAGCTACCTACTAATGCTAAAAAATTAGCTTTAGGTATAATTGTAAAGCCAACCAAATGGTGTTAACTTGAGAGCAGTGAAAATGTGTTCAGCTCCTTTGGCACAAATCAAGTTCCGGCAGACATGGATGAGATTTTGATATGGAAGGACCTGAATGATCTGCAGATTCCTGATTTCATCCCATCTTTGGGATTAAAGGGTGGAATACGAACCACACTTTCTCCGCCAGCATCTGACCTCTACAAAGTGTTTGTGGAGGAGAGGTCAGCGATCTAAACCCTCTCATAAAATGTTGTGCAACATGTTCCCTGTGGATTAATAATGAGATGTTGCTCAACTTTATACTAGTGTGAAAGCAAAGTCTTTCCAGTTAGGAAAAAGAAACAGCCGCCCATTACTAACAATGTAAGGTTATTCTAAAACTACAGTTTTTGGATTTATCCATATCTTTGAAATAAAGTTAAGGACTAAAGCAGCAGACAGCCTTACTGGTTAATTAGATATCAGCCTGTGCTTTGATTTTTAAAGAGCAGGATGACAAATATTCCTTTGATTAAGAACAATATGCCTACAGGTATTTGAAACTGGTTGCATTTTAAAGATATTTGGGTGCACTATTGCTTTTCATCTGAAAGCAGGCTGACAGGAAAAAGGTGTGAGCAACAAAGTTTGACAGGAGCCGATGGCCTCCACATGGGTTACTAACTCAGCACTGGTTGTTTTTTATTTAGTTTATGTAATAAAATACGTATATATATATTTTTTTTTTTTCAAAAATGTTATTTTAACAACTGTTTTGTTGCTTTCTGTGTTAAATCCAAGTAGATCACATAAGAGAAATCTGATTAGTTTGTTGAAATATAGTTATAAATTTCCATTTCCCTGATTGGTTCTTTAAGGAAGATCCTAATTATGTTTGACGAAGAGGGAATCTTCTAGTCTTTTTCAAACTGAAGAAAACCCACCTCGAAATACTCCCCCCCCTAATTTAAAGTTTATATATCTGCCCTGTTTTTAGAGAGGTAAACATATACTGGTTACTGCAGATCCTGCTCACTTTCCCCTGCAATGTGTGCAGATGAGCAGTAGAGGGCAGGAGTTGTCAGATGCTCGCTGCACCTCTAAAGGTTTCATTTAAATAAAATTCTAATATTCTAACATCACATTTATTTTATTATAAGAGTAGTTGTATATATATATATATATATATATATATATATATATATATATATATAGATTCTCATCAGCATTTGAGATGAGAAACATTTTTCTTATTCCAATTGACATGCAAACTAGAATGAAATATTTCTTTGAAAGTATTACAACCATTTCTCTTTTTTTTTAGTAATAAGACGTCCAACACAAACTGTAGACTTTTGCAGCCCCTGAGTTTTTCTAAAACCCTGGGCTGCATCTGTGATCCATGCTATCCTTAGCTGACCTGTTAGTTTAGGCTGATGCACATATATCTTGCTAGGTTTGCTCTTTCCTTTTTCTTGGACGATGCCAAGAAGTTGGGATAATTCTTTAAACCTCAAAACATTTCTATTATGTTCTTTTCTTTCGCCTTCCTCCTGCTTAAACAGGTAGTTTAAATGATCAAATCCTGAGACTTAAGGTTTTAATAGTTTGGACTGGGTTTTATTCAGGGGTTATTGGCCTTAAAGGTCCTGAAATCAAATGCACACCACACTTTTCAGATTTATAGATAGTGGAAAAAAATGTCTTTTCGCTTGGTGATTGTGCACAACTTCATGTTTGCTTGTCACAATTAATCTGAAGTACATTCTAGTGTGTTTTACTGATAAGTTGTGGAGAGGTTTAAGAGTTAGGAACACATTTACCACCAAGCATACGAATTGCTGTTTTGTAGGAAAACTCATGTCAGACATTATTTTTACAGAGGAAAACTGAATCGAAATAAACCAAAGTCTCTCTGGGTAAATCTTGTAGCTACCCTTTTTTTTTTTTTTTTTGCATTAACCAGGTTTTTAAAAATCTGATTAATTACTTCTCATTCTTTTGTTTTAAGCCTCTCAGTAACTTTTGCTACAACTGAACCAAAGTCCAGAATCAGTTAAAGTAATTGTAAAATAAAGCTGAGATGGGAATTACCACAAAATACAAAACCAAGTTGCAGATAAAGATGCTTTAAACCTGAATTAGTCATTAAACTCATGGGATATACAACCCTAAAGAGTCAATCATTTCTGAAATAAGCTCATAGAGCTGCATGTGACACGATGCATGAGTGTTCAGCGAGCGGATGTAGATATCTGATCTAAATTGCTTTTGGAGTTATCATGACCTTCGTCACTGTCAAAGCTGCAAGGAAAGGCTTTATCTGGAAGGCAGAACTGCTGGAAACACTGGACTCTGTTCTCAAATTTACCAATCCCTTAAACTGCTTAGATAAGATAGCCAAAATGTAGGAATAAAAAATAAGATAATATATCAGGTATAAGAAGAGACGTGTCAGCACGCAATTAGTTTTTAACTAAAGCGTTACAATAAGGACAAGTAAAACACAATAAAAGAAAGATTAGTATAAATAGAGCATAAGAAAAAACAGGTTTCATGTTTCTTTTATTGTTTTAGATTAGTTCTGTTATGACTCTATTAGGTGAAAACAAACAGACCTTTACCCCTTGTATTCAAAGGAAATGAAAAGGCGAAAATCAGTTGGGTTTTAGTTTTTAAGTTTTTATTCCGCTGGTTTAAAACGCTGCAGCTTGCATTGTTTTCCAAGCAGTGATTTTTGCTGCAGTTTCTGTTGTTTGCCATGGTGAAGCTTCCCTACATTAAAACTACTAATTCTTTTCATGGAATACACCTCCGATTAGCTGTGAGGGGAAGGGAAGCAATAAAAAGTTCACTTTTTTTTGTCATAAATGCCGATCAGAAAATGTGGCATGAATATATAGTCCTCCACTCTACAGCGGACGGAGCACCAGTCGAAGACCTGTTTGCACTTTGCATGTAGAACATGGACACATGGTGGAAAAGGCTGCAGTCTGATGAGAGAAGGAATGTTATCTTTTATGCCAATGCGAAAACTGGTGTCTGTGGAAAACGAAATAACACAATTGCCGCTTTAATACAGAATTAGTATCATGCTGTGGGGATGCTTTTCTTCAGATGATGAAAATCATTGCAGTATAAATCTGTTGGAGGCAGCAGGTCTGGGTTGGAGGTTCTCCTTCCAGCAGGACGAGAGTCTTCAAAGTACACTCAGGGCTGCCGTGGAATGGTCTAGTCAAAGTCTGGACTTTTGGAAGAGGTGTTGAACTTTGTAATTGATGTTCATAGACATTCTCACTGTGAACTATAGTTATATTACTATAGTTATGGAGCTGTAGTTATTTTACAAAAAAGAATGGAGACATAAAGGCAACAGATTTAGGTTCTGCGGATTATTTATCAACAAATACACACCTCAGATTTCAGATTTAGGTTTTTATTCTTTATTTTTCTTTTAGGTTTTTACGGCACTGGTGTCTCATTTTTTGTACAGTGGGCTGATAGGAAAGGGGGTACGACAGAGGGGGAGACATGCAGCAAAGGAACACAGGTCAAGGACTAGGGAGTCCAAACATGGGTCATGCACCCTAACCACTGCGCCACTAAAGCGCGCCTTCAGATTGAGTTTAAAGAAAAAAACACATTTAGAAAACTGTATTTTCCACTTCTCACATAAGCCTTGCTTTGTCCTGGTCTTTTATTTCTCTCATACCTTTGCAAGATTCTGTAATCTGCTTGTACCAAAGGTGATTCCTGCAATCTTTAAAACAGCGTTTAACCTTTTATTGTATTATATTATCATCTAATCAGGCTCCATTGCTACAGATAACATTTTTCTTTTTTTGCTTCCTCATGTACCATTGCTTCACACCTTTAAGTTCTGCTTCCATCGAACCAAACTGCAGCTAGAGTGGATTTTTTTTCCTCTGTAAAAATAACTCTATGCAAATGTTCAGTTCACTAACCACTGTTTAATATCTCCAATTTTTTTTAAAGAGAAGTATTTCTATAGTGCTACGAGAGGTTCTGAATACATTTATATTGATGCAGGGGGACAATAGAGATGTACTTGAGGGCCCAGCCCCACCCTCAGTGCCACTCAGAGTGGAATCAGGATGTTGGACCGAGGGGCAGGGCGCTGGGCCTGTTAAATATTGACGGCGGGTGTAATAATTAACCCTCCAGCAACTCCCGATGACTTAAACTGACCGCCGTGCCTCGTTGCCATTGCCTCGTCGTCCTTGCTGCCACTTACATCGGTACATGGGTCCCCCACCCTCCCGTACCTGCTGATCTCTGTCACCGACTCGCACTGCTTTCCTGACCCCATCGTGCAGACCTCCTCAGCTCCTTCAAACCTTCAGCTCCTACAATCTGCTTCCTGGGTCACGACACCCTGCTGTTCTTCAAACCTTTGGCCTCCATGTTGAATTTGAAGGTGAGTAGGGGAGAACCAAATCTTCAGATGAACTTCTGAAGGTAAAAAACTCAGCATGTGTGATTAGTTCTTTTTAAATTATCGACGACTTTGACACCTGAAACAGACAAATTAAAATGCTTCTTTTTCTGCACTTTTTAAATACAAACTAGAGAAAAAAAGGCAGTTCAAATATTCTAAATCAGCCTCTAAGGCATTCTTTATGAAGACAAATGTCGGTGTTAGTGGGAAACCCGGGGCCTGCAGGTACACAGGTCAGACACACCCTTATACTGGCTTTCATGTTGACAGCTGCCATAAAATCTCTGTTATCTACACAGGCCTTGGCCCTTTGGCCGTGCTGTTGGAGGAGTGTGAGCAATGATGGTGTTTATACTATGGGTTATAAAAACTGGGAGGAGGAAATTATCGGGTCAAAGTCGCTTGGGAGTGGAGCTGCACTAGTACTAAACCTGACTTATCGAGATCCTCAATTCAGCCCTGTGTGTTTTTTTCGTTTGTCTTTCTTTAAAGGTAACTGAGGAGCGAGCTGAACTTCCACCATAATCATCATCATCATCATCAGTGATCCTTCTGGTTGTTGCTGGATGTAACAGCAACTCCATGTGGAAGCTGAGCTTATTCCAGTGGAGGTGCTGTTACCTGCAGAGACTAACCAATTCAACGATTGCTGCTGCGGAGCGGACAGGGGTTTGACCTGCAGGCAGCCGAGGGCTGGTGGGGCACAAGGTGATGACCTATGAATTGACAGCCAGTGATCTGAAGCATCTGCCTGTCAGTTCTGTAGGCCACTGCTGCGTTTGTTCCTCTGAACATGCACAGATTTCATTCCAAAAAGCTGCAAAAAAAAGATGGTGATTTGAAACTGACTGATTTTATAATTTTTGTGAATTTACAATAAAGAAACAATAAAATTAAATTGTCTATGAGTCTTTAATTAGTACTTCTGACTTTTAATAGTGTAGTTCTTCACTTCTGACCTCTGGGAAATCAGGAGATATTTATGAAACTGCATGGAGAGAAAAGTAAGCTTAGAAAAAAAATGGTCCAACCAGCGGCTGGTTTTTATAATCAGCCATACGGCTAACTACAGGGAGCCACTACCCACTGGGAATGTCTCAACGTTCAAAATAAAAAAGTATAAGTTGCCTAATTTCCTATATTAACACATCCCTTTAACACTAGAGCTACTCATTGATGCTATAAACAATACCTGCATTGCAGCTTCAGATTCAAGGCTAAATTAAAGGCCTATTTCATTACTTTATTATGTAATCTGATCATCTTTAGGTTCAATAGCCAATCTAAATGTAGTTTTTGCCATCTAAACTTATATTCTTTAAATCATTGTTAAGATAATTAAGTCAGCAGGTTAGTATAATTTAAACTGGGGTTAATTTGATTAATAAAATGTTTGTGGCTATGTCTAGTATAGCATTAGGAGGGGGCTCACCCAGATCACCACTCATGTATGAACTTATTGAAGGATGTTTTGCTACCTAAAAAGTATTTTAACAAAGTTTCACTGATGAAAATCATACCACTAATGTTAAAGTTTGAAAAAAAAAAAAAAAAAAAAGTTGCCTTTTTGCTTTAAAGGGTATCACTTGAAAATAAAAATAACAAGGAAGGCACGACAGGAAACTCAGCTTCCCAGGTGTTCCCATAATATACGATGTGGTTGTAATTCAACTTGTAAACTCTTTACTGGAATAAAACCTGCAAACAAATCTGGTCTTAATGAACCGCAGTGATTTATGTAGACCATACAGCTCCTGCAGCCGCCTTTGCTCTCAGCATTCCAGAGAAAAACACTTCACATATTTATTGGACTGCTCGGTCATACTCCGATTATTAATACACTCTGCTTGTTGTTTGTTCATAGAGTTCCCTCTCTAATGGTGAGTCTGTGCAATAAGTCTTAGGATGAATTCATATATAGTTTAAATCTCTAACACTCAAGATTTCACAAAAGTCCAACCTTTAATTGGAGTTTGATTGATCTCACTTCACAAAATATATCCCACCCCTGACCGTCCCTATAAACGTGATTTTCTGACATATTTCGATATACGGATACTTAAAAGAAAAGAAATCTAAATTACTCATAAAACATTTTAATACAATAGGTGAACAACTAAAAACAGGGACTTTATAACATTTAGTAAAATCCCATTTATCCCCTTAGGAAATGGCTAAAATTACATATGAGACAAATCACTTTGTGTTTGCATCATTACTCAGCAATTTTAAGTTGCTGTTGATATGATAGTGAATATATAATGGTAAAAGGACTCTCTGAGGCCTCTAAAAAATTTGTACCAGAATACACATCTGCTAAGGAATTAGAATAGAACTCAGAATGAATCAGCCCTCCCACATTACAGAAAATAGCCTAGAAATGGAGGCGGCAGATGTTTTCCTACTCAGATCTAAATGTTGAGGCAGGATCACCTGAAAGCAGACTGCAAGGTGATAAGTCTCCAAAAAATCTTATAATACCATCACAGAATTCACACCAGGGTCTTGTTGCTGAGAAAAGGGCAAGCCTGTATAATAAGAAAGAAAGCACAGATTAACTTTTATGGGATGTGTATGAGGAGGAAACCTTTGCTCTTTAAAAAGAACACAAGGTCCAGACTGAAGTTCATTACAGAAAACCCAGGATGTCTGTCTTATGTTCATTGGACAGAAGAATATAAAACTAATAATTTCAATATTTTCATTCAGAGAACACTTCCCCATTCACTGTAAAACACTGAGGTGCTGGTGTAATAGTTTGGAGATGAGATCTGGCCTGCTCATGTCAAAAGTAATAAAAGTCCTGGAGGAATAAAAAGTCCTGGGTCAAGTCAAAGCCCAGAGCTAAGACTTTTTTAGAGACTTTAAGCTGATTGGAAACTGGATGTTTAAAGAAACATATATTTATCAGTCAGGAGCACTCGGTGGGATTGTTTTAAATCATTTTCTGCAAGAGCAATCAACAGGGAGTTGCCACTTCCATCTATGGACTGCATGCCCCCTGTCGGGCTTATTGCTGAGAACAGGCAGTCCTTTAGCTATGGACAGGCAGGAGAATCCCTGATCAGCTCAGTTGGGTATCACTGGATTCAAGCAAAAACACTCAAGTAACCAAACTCTTCTAATATGCTTTCTATTCTTGCTGTTTTGTGGCTTTCATACTGCTATTCAGATTGAATGTTGTAAATACAATCTAAGCTCAATTCAATTCAGTTTATTTATATGGCGCCAATTCACAACACGTCACTCAAGGCACTTTACAGAGACAATTCAACCAGATCATACAGTCAAACTGATTCAAAGTTTTATATCTAAGAAAAAAACAGCTGATTGCATTGACTCATTGACTCGAAGGTAATCCCTCACACCAAGCATGCATGTAGCGACAGTGGAGAGGAAAAACTCCCCTTTGACAGGAAAAAAACCTCCACCAGAACCAGGCTCAGTGTGAGCGGCATCGGCATCGCCAGACCCCATTTACTGGGGCACGTGCCCCAGTATAAATGAGCTGTGCCCCAGTATAAATCTCATGAATATTTGCAACAGTATTACATTTTTTTAATGCATCAATTTAGATAATTCCAACGGAAGGAGACGTATATTTCTACTCAAATGCGCAGCAAGTGTGTTGGTAACTCCAAATTGAGGATGTATTAGCGCCTCCACGTCAGCGCATGTCACTGCATGAACTGCAGGTAAACTAACGCGCTGCTCTCAACTGAGTTGGATTGGACACTGTGCGGCCACGACACATTTTTAGTTCTGGTAACGTTTCTTACCTGTCAATTTTATTATTTTCCCAGTGAAACCACATGATTTATAGGCTACTGACTGAAAATTACTGCATTGGTTTGTAGATGGATATCAGGAAATTCCTCTCACGAAGCAGAGACAGGGAAGCAGTAAAACAAGATGAGAGAGGGAGGTAAGGTCCCGTAATGAATTAGTGATTAAGCTAAGCAGTTACATTAGGGACGTTATAAGCAATATGATAGATATTTACATAATTATAAATTTAAGTTTTTTAAATGTTTGCTGTAGAGAATGAGAATGAAGGAGTAGGAAAGGGAGGAGGAGGCGAGACTGACTGGCAAGAGACAGGTGAAGGACAGGAGAGACAGGACCATGAAGGTGATGAGGGAGCAACAACCAGCGTCCACAAACAAGAAGGGGACATTAGTGACTTAGGGGGAAAGCATGATGGTCCTAAACTAGTGAAGTTGTCCCACTATCCCCAGCACAAATTTGGAGTAAAAAAAAAACGTTAATTTAATTCAAAATTGTTTGAAAGCTTTTCCTGGTTAAAAAAGAAAGCCTTGTCATCAAGGATATGCAGTGTGTTTTCAACTTGCTTGATAACATCATGTTCCCAACACTAACGCAGGTCATTCAGATCTCCCTCACAATCACAATCAGCTGTAGTTGTGAAAGGTCATTCAGTGTGTTGAGAAGGATCCACACTTGGCTGAGGTGCACAATGGGACAAGACAGGCTCCATCATCTTGCTATTTTATCAGTTGAAAAGGAAGAACTTTCTAAGCTGAGTCACAGTCTAGTGATTGACCACTTTGCAAAAATGATAAATAGGAGGTGCACTTTAATGCTCAAAAAATAAAAGGAAAACTTAGCTCAGGATGAGTTAAACTTTCCCCTGAACTAAAACTCTGTAACCTAGGAATTAATGATTACTTCAGAATGTGTATAAGGAAACTTTTTATTTGTCAAAGTTGTTGATGTCTTATTTTTTTATAGCTGCAATGTTGAAAATGTTCATGTTTGTTAAAACAAATATGCTCTTATACTCATTAATATCTCAACTGGTAATTTTGGTAGGAATGTATCAGGGTTGGGCAGTGTGCTTGTCTGTATTTATGTATGGAAGGAGGGGCATATGCACTAGGGGGCCAGTGCCCCAGTAAAGCTTTGTGCCTAGCAACGCCCCTGGTGAGCGGCCATGTGCAGATGCCGACTGGGGTTCAAGGACACAGAAGCAGACTTAGAAAAAGAAGCTGAGATACACACAGCTCCACGTGTGGCCCCGTCCAGGAAACACACAGCCAGGCAGACGATCTCTGAGCCAGCTCCCATGTCAGAGGATGAAAGAGAGCACATACAGTTAGTCACATTCAGAGAAACAGGACTACACTGAAAAACAGCCCAAGCTCCAACATCCACAAACAAAGGTGTGGATGGTAGCAGCACAGCTGATATTTCTTTACAGGATGTTGTCAAATTCAAATAGAAAAACACCAGATGAAGCTTCTATGAGAAAAAGCAAAGCGAGCATAAAATCAGAGATTGAACTAACAAATTCTGCAGAATGGGATAACAGAGATAGAATGAAGCAGAATGTTGAAAAGGGGCTCCTATGTCCTCCATCAGTCTAAGCCTATAGCAGCATAACTATAGAGATAGCTCAGTATAACCTGAGCCCTATAAGCTTTATAAAAAAGGAAAGTCTTAAGCCTTTTCTTAAAAGTAAACAGTCAGCAAACTCAAGTCACACATGTACCTAAAGTTGAATAAATACAGTAGAAATACCCATTTTACTAACAGTACAATTTACTAGTAAAACCCCAGCATCTTTAAGCCACTCAGTTGCTTCTTAACCAGAGTTTAATAGAAATGCTGAATCTGTTCCTTTAAAGATTACCCAGTAAATGTTGGACAATTGCGTGACTAATGGTGCCCCTTGCACTTGTTTACACATCATTTGCAGCGTGTAAGTGAAAACCATGGCTAATCTGAAATAAAATAGAAGTCAAAGAGGAGATATGATAAGGATACTTGTTGAAAATGTCAACATGGTGCTGCCACCTGCCTGCATAGAAGATCTTTGCAAAACACAGCCTGCAGTGAGGCAGAGTGTAGAAACCAGGTCTGTTCGATCAAATTGGAGATTTGAGCAAAATGACACTACGGGAAGATTAGCGTGCTACTGCTCTAAAATTAAATGGGATATTAAAGAGAATAAGTCCTCAAAGCTGGTCAATAGGACTAAATCCATCAATCAATCTGGACGACATCAGGCATATATATATATATATATATATATATATATATATATATATATATATATATATATATATATATATATATATATATATATATATAATGCTACAAAGATTACTTAGTAATGGCTTTATCTGACAAATATCTGAAAACAAGATATTTGTCAGATAAATAATAATGGTACACTGTCCCCTCACATCTAGTGTCTGATCCAAAAAAAATCTAGAGATGTGACGGTACCATTAGCACCTGAGAAAGTGTGAATTACTGGAAGGAACTTATTCATGAGGTATTTATGTTTTTGCTCTTCGTCATTTGGTTGGGATTCTCCTAAGAGATATCAGCCTCGCATCAGTACCGATCAATAGCTTAACTGGAACTTATCAGACAGATACATATAGAAATTCCTTACAGAGTTCTTATATTTAAGACTTTTTCACAGATAAATGTTTAATTTATATTTATATTGTCTAATTTCTAAATATCAGTATCGAGCAGAGGTTACAGACTTTATCTAAAATACAGTTTTAAATGAGAGAAAGCTTTATAAACAACATCTGGCCTGTGCAAAGACACCCCCTCATAAAGTAACAGCATCTAACTACAAAACCTCAGGTCAACTTCAGCCAAACCCACATCAATCCATTGATTTAAAGAAATTCAATACCAGTAAAAAAAAAAAGGAACTGCTATTAATATCTCTCAGTTGGGAAATCCATGTTTTAGGTGTTGGATTTTTCGCTGATCCGCAGTGAGAGACACAATGGGAGTTAAAAAAAAAACGTAAATATGTCCAAAAGAAATTACTCCAAGAACCCATCAATAAATCATCAAGGAGGTCACCAAAAAACCCATAACAACACTGAAGGAGCATAAGGCCTTAGTTTCTTTAGTTGAGGCCAAATTTCATCATTTGTTAACATGGAAAGAAGACATTAGTGTGCAAAATCAGCATTTAAAGGCCATAAAGAGTACAGGTACAGGTCATTTTTTATCCAAAACACGCTTAGGGCCCCAGAGACACCAAGACAAAGCCAATTATTGAACATGGTTGATGCTGAATAGAATAGAATAGAATAGAATAGAATAGAATAGAATAGAATAGAATAGAATAGAATAGAATAGAATAGAATAAAATGTCCCTGTATTAGCTTCAGGGAGAAATTGTTATTTACATGAGACCAAGAGGATCTGGATAGCTGTTTTCATTAATGGATGTAACAATCTTTGAAAAATAATATTTAAACTTGCTTGTCTTAAGTTTTATAAGGTCAAATACTTTTTCCCAGACTTGATTTGCCGACTGTGGGACATTGATGAGAGCATATAAAAACTCATATGGGACATTTTATCCTTTTAAAATTTAGTAAAAATGTTAGCTTTTTTTAATGGTTGTATTAATGTTGATAAGTAAAACAAGAAGACATATTCTTATCACTGAGATGCAAGAAAAATTGAATAATTCTTATCTATCTCATAATCCAGAGAAATTGACCTGCTATTTCTTTGGTTGCTGCATCAAGTTCATAATTAAAGGATCAATCAGATAAGGAAACATCTAATTTAGGACTTAACTAATTTATGTCTCATCTATCAATAATTGAGCTGTCTATTTTATACATATTTCATTAACTCTTTCTTAATTTCCCCCTGCCACTCAAAATGTATATATCTTTTAATCATCAACCTAATTACACCACAAGGTAATATCTATTAATTAGCATAAAGGTAAGTCCTTGATTAATTTTCCATATATGTGATAGTTATTGATTACTTTTTAATTGCCATTAAAAAACTCTAAGTTATAAATAACCTCTTAAATAAAATAAAATTGTAACTAGGTCATCTCGTAGTAAAGTGGGATGAATAAATCATGATTATAAACTACAGTTTGTAAGCTTGCTACATTCTAATTATAAGAAAGATTCTTATAAGTGTGTAAAGGCTATTTTTATTGTCACAGTGATGGAAACAGGCGTCAAAGTGAATCGATTTCATTGTGTTTTATTTTCAGGTTCGAAGCTTCTGTGTTTAACTAAGGTGTCTAACGATCCTAAATTCCGAGATTAAACATTGCATATTTTAGTCAGGAAGCAAAACAGACTTTTCTTGTTAATCGAAGCCGGAAGTTGTATTGACTGCGTCAAGTGACGTCACATGCGTCTGGGTGCCGGTAAGTTAAAAATCTGCTAAAAATGATTAGAAATAGATTATTTTTCGATTATTCTAAATGAGTTTCAGGATTAAATGGATAGGTTATCATAAAATATGAAAATACCAAAAGAATAATTCCGGGTCATGTTTAGAACTAAAATAAAAGAAGGGAAACACTGCCCCCTAGCGGCGCCGGAAGGCAGGACTTCCCGTGGAGCAGAGAGAGAGAAGGCGCTAAAACAAGAAGCAGCATGGCATCCGACAGCAACATGGCTAACGTTAATGGGAAGGAGGCTGCTTCCCTCAACGGAGAGCCGGTGGTGAAGCGGCTGAGGGAGAACGTCCAGCAGAACGTGTCGCTCCGGACCCCAAAGGAGCCCCAGAACAAAGTGACCGTGGTGCTCGGAGCTCAGTGGGGCGACGAGGGCAAAGGAAAAGTTGTGGACTTGCTCGCAATGGATGCGGATATTGTTTGCAGGTGCCAGGTACTAAACCCCACCGAACCGTTAATATCACGCTTTCTGCTCCCGGCATATGTATGTTATTTATTTGGTTTTAATCTAAGGATTATATTTCCACCGATGAGTGAAAGTCGGGATGTTTTTTTTTTTTTTTTTTTTTGCTGCTTTTGCATATTCATGACGTCACCAGACCCAGCCCGGATGTGGGAAAGCTAGATCTCCAGCTACCATTTATCTTTTATTTAGTTTAACTTTACACATTCAATCACGACTGGGTTATGATTAGAAAGCCGAACGCCTGACCTCCAACAGCCGATAAGCGTTTCCACTGAATGCACCGTTATATAAGCAGCTGTCTTCGCTCAGGGACATTTAAACACGTGTTAAAATGACTAACAGCGGCACTGCAGCTTGATCTGACATTGATGATGATGTTTTTCCTACCTAAGGTGTCTGTTTTGTGTTTGCAGGGAGGAAACAATGCAGGGCACACTGTGGTGGTGGATGCAGTGGAGTATGACTTCCACCTGCTGCCCAGTGGTGTGCTTAACAAGAAGGCCACCTCATTTATTGGTATGTTTTTATTTAATTCAAGATCAGAAGATGGTGGGTGATTAAAAAAAAACAACAAATTAATTAGGGAAAGACAACATCCTACCCCAGAGTATCCTTATCTCATCACCAGCCACACTTCAGGAAGAGATAAGGACTCTCTATAGTAAGCAGAGGGAACTGAATGATGTAAACAACTATGCAAAGTGGAGCAGAAGCTGAACTCAACCCTATTGACCCAGTTTAGCTTCACTGGAGCTGATAAATGGACTCCATTTACGCTCCATGTTTTCACACCCTGTAAACTTTTGAAATAATCAGACTAGATGCGGTCATGAAGGCGTCATGAAGCATTTTGACATATTACCAAACAGCATTGATGCTATGTCACTGAATTCTAACACCTGCTTTGAGGCTATTGACAGACAACAATTTCTTTTATAACGTTTCTATGAATAAGTGTTTTTGTTGTTGTTCTTAATTAGCAGGATTAGTTCTGTAAAAAAGTTCTGTTTTGAGAATTTACAAGATCATTTCTAGAAGAAAAACCCAAAGTTTTATTTTTTTTTTATAATAAAAACTGATGTTTAATTGACAAAATAATTTTTATAAAAATGTATAAAAACGTTTTTTTTTTAATTAACAGAATTAGTTTTATTAAAGACAATAGTAAAAAAGCTCTGTTTTGAGAATTTACTTTATTTCTATAAAACTATCATTTTTATAATTAAAAAAATCTGATTTTTAATTCACAAAATATTTTTAATAAAAATGTATAAAACTTTTTTTTTTTTATTAACAGAATTAGTTTAATAAAAAAAAAGTTTTGTTTTGAGGATTTAAAAGATGATTTCTATAAAAAAAATATATATAAATTTATATAGATTTATATAAATATAAATCTATTTTTCAATTAATGAGATGATTTTTATTTAAAAGAATATAAAACTTTGTGTTTTTCAGAATTAGAGATTTTTTTTTTAATAAAAAAACATTTTGGCTTTCTTCATAACTAAGAGACAAGAGAATTTCCTAGAATCTGAATCCCAAAAGAAAGTAAAAATGAAAAAATAAACTCAAAAATACAAGAAAAAATACAAACGAGACATGCTGAAGCTTTTTTGAAGAAAAGGCGTCTCTTGCTTAGAAATCTTCAATGCCAAGAGTAACGCAACAAATCATAGCAGCTTTTCTCATTAATTCAGAAAAAAATTTTTTTACTTGTTTTTTTTAAAAATATCTTGTTAATTTAGAAAAACGTTTGAAATGATGGTTTGAAAATGAATTCGAATTTATATAAATCAAGTGAAAACAGAAGAAAAGGATGATACAAGCAAATTGAAACAAATATATTATTTTCTGATCAAATTAGTCCTGCGTGGTGAAAGCTTCTCTTTTGGCCGTAGACTATTCCATAATGCTCAATCTACCGTAATGACCCGAATATAGGAGAACCCTGATTATAAGATAGGGTTGTCACGATACTAAACTTTTCAACTCGATACCGATACTAAGGAAAATATTCGATACTCGATACCATTTTCGATACCACAAGGATAAAATTTCAACAGAAATATTTTGATTAATAATTAAAATACAATAAATAAATACAATAAAAATTAAGAACAACATTTTGAGGTTGTTTGCTGTGCACAGTATTTAGCAAGCTTGATAAAAAACTTACAAAATTAAAATTAAGTTTTCCTTCCTTGGCTATGCTTTGCACACATAACAATAACACTAGCCAAACCGGTTAAGAAACAAAAATAATTCTCAGCAGCTGCACCTGTTACAAAAAAAGTCTGAAACTGAAAAGTGCGTAGAATTATTCAATCACAGTGTTCAGAAAGTGCATTTTCCTCTATTCTGCACTTTAGATGAATGACTGTTTAGGTGTGACTGGTACTCGATACTTTTGAAAATGAGTATTGTATCCGGATACAACATTTCAGTATCGATACTTTTTTGAGTATCGATACTTTTGACAACCCTATTATAAGACAACCCCCTCTTACCAGGATCGGTTTTTAAGAGCCAAACAAAAAGAAATAAATGAAAATGAAAGATAAACCAAATTTATTTGATAAAAAAAAAAAACTATTTTATATTGAAGTGCTAATAATATTTCATTGAAAGATTTGTGCAATTCAGCAAAATAAAAAAGAATGGAAAAAAAAAGAAAGTGACTCATTTAAGTGAATTCTTGCAACACTTCAACTCGAATGCAATCTGAACTTTGCTCATGGAACGTCTTAAACCTGCATGAGCCTTTTTTTCTCAGTCGAACTTATGGGTCCAGCCTTGGCGTGTCTCATCAAGGTTCTGGAACCGTCTCATTGAAAGACGAGTGAAAACAGGGTTTGCATTTTTCTGCATGCCTTGTCTGACAAGTCTTCACTTTATGACTGCTGTAATATTGTTTCTTTTGTTCATCTTTTACTCAACTTTGTACCATCTGCCTATGTTTAATGTTGCTCCATCCAGCTTCAATAAATGGAAGGAATAATTAGTTTGAATGCATTAAGGATGTTGAATATTTCCTCCTTGTTTGTAAACAGGTAATGGAGTGGTGATCCACCTGCCTGGTCTGTTTGAGGAGGCTGAAATGAATCTGCGGAAGGGCAAAGGTGAAACGGTGTCTCTTGTTTTTCCAGTCAGACCACAGAGATTTCAGTTATTAACACAGATCAGGCCACAATTGAATGCTTTCTCTGTTTTCTGCAGGTCTACAGGGATGGGAGGAGAGATTAAAGATTTCTGATCGGGCCCACATTGGTTAGTCTGCACTCTTGGCTCTTTCATTTTCAGGTTTTTGATCGAGAAGTCTCTTTTTCTGATTGGACTCTTTCCACCTCTAGTGTTCAACTTCCATCAAGCTGTTGATGGGATCCAGGAGCAGCAACGGCAGCAGCAAGAAGGGAAAAAGTATGTCTTTATTTGCCTGAAAAATATGTCTGCGACTCCAGTTTTTACTTCTGTTTTTTTTTTTTTTTTTTTTCATTTCCGTGTCATTTTTTTTTCCAGTTTGGGGACCACTAAGAAAGGCATCGGACCGGCGTACTCTTCCAAAGCAGCTCGGAACGGTCTCCGGGTCTGTGACTTGGTCTCAGATTTCGGCGTTTTTGAAGAGAAGTGAGTGGATTGTTCTGGTTATTATCTCAATATATGTAACTGGCGGACCTATACCTACAGTCATATGAAAAAGTTTGGGCATCCCTATTAATCTCAATTATTTTTATTTCTAAATATTTGGGTGTTTCCAACAGCTATTTCATTTTGTTATATCTAACAACTGAAGGACGCAGTAATATTTCAGTATTGAATTGAGGTTTTTTGGACAACAGGAAATGTGCAATATGCATTAAAATAAATTGGCAGGTGGAAAAATGTGGGTACCTTAACCATTTTATTGATTTGAATACCCTTAACTACTTTTCTCTGACTTATTGAAACACAAAATTGGTTTAGTAACTTCATTAAGATTTGAACTTCAAAGCCAGGTGTATCCAATCATGAGAAAATGTATTTAAGGTGGCCAGCTGCAAGATGTTCTCCTGTTTGGATCTCCTCTGAAGCTTCATTACCTCAAAACAACTCTCAAATGATCTGAAAACAAAGATTGTTCACATAGTCGTTCAGGGGAAGGATGCAAAAAGTTGTCTCAGAGATTTAAACTGTCAGTTTCCACTGAGGAACATAGTAAGGAAATGGAAGACCACAGGATCAGTTCTAGTTAAGCCCAGAAGTGGCAGGCCAAGAAAAATATCAGAGGGGTAGAGAAGAAGAAAAGTGAGAATGGTCAAGGACAACCCACAGACCACCTCCAAAGACCTGCAGCATCATCTTGCGGCAGATGGTGTCACTGTGCATCGTTCTACTGTATGGGAGAGTGCGACAGAAGCCTTTTCTGCAAGCAAACCACAAAAAGAATCGCTTGAGGTATGCAAAGGCAATTCTTTTTGACAAGCGAGCTTCATTTTGGAGTAAGGTCTTTTGGACGGATGAAACAAAGATTGAGTAGTTTGATAATGAAAAGGTGTTATGCATGGCGGCAAAAGAAACACAACATTCCAAGAAAAACACTTGCTACCCACTGTAAAATTTGGTGGAGGTTCCATCAGGCTTTGGGGTTGCGTTGCCAATGCTGGCACTGGAAATCTTGTTAAAGTTGAGGGTCGCATGGATTCCTCTCGATATCAGCAGATTCTTGAGAATAATGTTCAAGAATCAGTTACGAAGTGGAAGTTACGCCGGGGATGGATATTTCAGCGAGACATTGATCTAGAACACCGCTCCAAATCTCAGTTATTCATGCAGAGGAACAATTTTAATGTTCTGGAATGGCCATCCCGATCCCCAGACCTGATCGTTGAACGTCTGTGGGATGATTTAAAGCATGCTGTCCATGCTCAGCGACCATCAAACTTAACTGGAATTGTTTTGCAAAGAAGAAAAGGATCCAGGAACTCATTAAAAGCTACAGGAAGCGACTAAAGGCTGTTTTTGCAAAAGGAGGATCTACTAAATATCAATGTCTCTCTTTTTGCTGAGGTTCCCGTATTTATGCACCTGTCAAGTTTTGTTTTGATGCATATTGCACATTTTTGGTTAGTCCAATAAACCTCAATTCAATACTGAAATATCACTCTGTCTATCAGTTATTCGATATATCAAACTGAAGTAGCTGTTGCAAACACCCAAATATTTAGAAATAAAATTAATTAAGATTAATAGGGGTGACCAAACCTTTTCATATGACTGTAACTTAGCCTCCTAACGAAGTTTTAAAAAGCAACATTTGGATTTATTTTTGATCAGAATGCATTTTTTTTTTGTCGTCAGGCGTTTATCTAAACCCTGCTTGTTGTGATTTGGGGCTTGATGCTCTTTCTGTCTGGTTGGAATTCCAATATCTACCAGTTTACTATTGACTAGAGCTCCAATGGCAGCTGGACCATCCTTGAACATTATAACCATTTCTTTTTTCACAAGGGGGTTAAAGTTTTTGGGAGAAAGTTGTTTTGAACGACTTGGATGTTCCAGCTGGATAAACATCCCAAATGCAGGTTAAAACTGTCAGTAAAACTGATAAACCGGCATATGCTGAGCTTTTAAAATCAACCAGACCTGTTTAAGGCTTCATGAATCAAAACCTTTATGTGTAAATAATTGAAACCTATTTCATAAAACTGAAAAGAAAAAAAAGAAAAAAAAAAATACAGTCATGTAGTTTACCAAATGAAATCAGCAGTTTTAGTTAGAAAGGCCTATTAGCTATATGTTCTTTGGCCAGCAGGGGGCAGCACCTTTCTACAGCCCAGAATCAGAGCTCTTGGGTCTTCCTGCCTTAATCTCATTGCTTCTGTAAAATTCAGGTTCAGTTGAATAAAAAAGGGACTTTATGAAGATTATTAAACATCTGTTTGGTTTGCAGGTTCCGAATGTTGGCTGATCACTTCCTAACCATGTATCCAAACCTCAACGTCGACATTAATGAAGAGCTGAAGCAGCTGAAGGTAATTTCTAACAATCTGTGTCTTAAATTTATCCTTATATTAGCCCTACATTCAAAACATCAAAAAGTTGATTAGAAATTAGACCAGGATGGATATCTGGGTATAATACAAATATTGTGATTGTGTTGAAGGAATACGCAGAGAAACTGCGGCCTCTGGTGACTGATGGTGTGTACTTCATGCACAAAGCCCTCACTGGTCCTAGTAAGAAGATCCTAGTGGAGGGAGCCAATGCCGCCCTGCTGGATATTGACTTTGGTGAGCAACATAGAATGATTAGGAAGAAAATGTTCCAGTTAGTGTTTCTAATCAATGTGTTCCTCTTTAGGGACGTATCCTTTTGTGACGTCGTCCAACTGCACCGTGGGAGGTGTGTGCACCGGACTCGGCGTGCCACCGTCGTACGTTGGCCGGGTCTACGGCGTCGTTAAAGCCTACACCACCCGTGTGGGTGTCGGCGCTTTCCCGACAGAGCAAGATAACGTGAGTGAGAAACTGCTTTACATCTGCCCGATGAGTAAAAGGAGTCATAATGTTCATAAAGCTTTAGAATCGCTTCTCTCTCTTCTGCTTGGGGGGATGAGGTGAGGAAGAGTCAGAGAATGAGGGAAGAGAAGATGATGATTAGTTCTCATTGGACTGCAAGAAAAAATGAATTTTCATGATTTTAACAACCAGCTGCTCACAAACCTAGCGAATAGTTATCTTACTGGAAAACATCAAATCCCGAGTTAATGTGCTGCTGTAGTTTTATTTCCTTAGGAATCAAATGAATTGTTTAATTTACCTGCTTGATTTGCAGGAGGTCGGAGACCGTTTGCAGGAAAGAGGCAGAGAGTTCGGCGTGACTACAGGCCGGAGGCGGCGCTGTGGTTGGCTGGACCTGATTTTGGTCAGATACGCCCACATGGTCAACGGCTTCTCAGCGTAAGGAACCTTTATAGGAGAAAAGTTTCCCTACTTTGGCTCCTAGAGCTCATTAAAGCGATGGTCTCGTTTGTGCAGGATCGCTTTGACCAAGCTGGATATCTTGGACACACTGCCAGAGATTAAAGTGGGTGTGGCCTATAAGATTGATGGAGAGCCCCTGCCCAGCTTCCCAGGTGAGTGGTTCCTCTAACCGTTTAGGATTTCCTGGATCTCTTGGGAAGTAAAAACTGTGTATTTAGCAGTGTTTTCCAAATGTGAATTATTGAAATATTAAAAACTAATTAAAGCCTTAAAGTAGACATGTCTATTACTCATTTAAGATTCAGTAAAGACGCTGATTTTGTTTTGGTTTAGAAACTGATGCGTTTTGGTCTTAGCTATTCTCTTTTTTTTTCTTGCTGTTTTGTCGCAGCTAACATGGACATCCTGACGCGGGTGTCTGTGGACTACGAAACGCTGCCCGGCTGGTGCTGCAGCACGGAGACAGCCAGGAGCTTCGAGGAGTTGCCTCCACAGGCACAGAATTACATTCGCTTTATCGAGAACTTCCTCCAAGTGCCAGGTTGGTAAAGAGATCTTCCTGCATTAATGGAGAAACCGGAGCCAAGCCAGGCCGCTTGGCTCCGCCCAGAACCCTGCCAGTCGCATCCTTAATGCTGTTCCTTTCTCCTTTCAGTGAAGTGGGTCGGAGTGGGAAAGTCCAGAGAAAGCATGATCAAGCTGTTCTGATCCCTGCTTCCCATCAGCAGACGACATTTCACACAAAGGGAGGAGATGGAGACGCACCAGCAAGACCACCTACCAAAGCTTTTAGCCGCTGCTCGTGTGCCACAGTAACAAGAAGTCTTGATCTGATTTATGCATTCTACACTTTGACCTCTATATGACCTTAGGGTGTTAACTTTTAAAGCGGAATCATAATGGACCCGTTCCAGTAGTAGTCCGATAAAGCACATTTTTCTTTTAGCTGTTGAAAGTTATTGATATAGTCAACATTTCTTCACCTCACAGATCTATTTTTACATTTTAAGAGGCACTGATGAACAGATGTAGAAGCCTCCGGATGAGAAGGACTTCCAAATAAAAGATTATATTTGTTACATGATAGAAAAATTATGATTACCCCTGGTATAGTCTTTTTTTTTCTGTTTAACTGATTTTAAGGCATTATTGCATCTCAATTGTTAAGTTTGTAGATAATTTGTGTGACGTGTGACTGAACAAAGCTTTGAATAAGAATCCAGAGCAAAAAAAGTGGTCGTCACATCCTTGCAGAGACGAGCTTTGGAAGTCGGGAAATGTTCAGATCGTGGATTGAAATGTACAAACTTGTTCCAGAGCTTGTTTTGAAAATTAAAGAAACCCATCATGCGTATTTGTTAATTTTTCAAGCTGTTTTGTCAGGCAGCACTTTGGGTCAACAGTGACATAGTCCCTGGATGTCAGTGGGAATTTATTCTCATTAATGCAGGATTGTTTTGCAGCATGTCCACTCATTAAAAAAGGGAAATTAATAAAATAATTATACATTGTACTGCAAGCAACACAAGAGGCCCCAGTTTGGTCAGTCAGCATCACTACCGGTTTAATGGATATTAAGCTCCACAAAAGCAGCAGATTGGATGTTACTGCAAGCCTGAGGAAGGACAACCAAAGATAAAACGGTCTGCACATAACATGAAAGATTTAATGCACAAACCCAGACCTAATTCTTCCCTAAAATCCACAAGCATTGGAAAAGTAACTGACCCACGTGAAGCTTTCACTGGATCTATGAAAATAAAAATGTTGGATCTCAAAAATCTTTGAATTTACAGGAGCTTTGGATGTGGAATAATTTAATTAAAGGTATAGTGGAGGATTTTTCGCGAAAATCTTTGAAAAGACCCGCCCTATCCACTAAAAAAAAAAAAAAATGCACATGCACAACCCTGTACCCTCTCCTAAGAGGGAATGCCTATTAAACGGGTGTGAGAGCATTTTTCCTCGTGCACGCTCTGTTTAAAAGTTTCTGTTTGCATCGCTCATACAAGCTTATGTCCCAAAACAAGATGTGCAATTTGTCCACCATGTCAGACTCGCCTGCGGTAAGTGAAAATGGGGACGAGCACGTAGGACGACCGTACGTAAACATTTCACCAGAGTGATTGATAATTAGCATGACCACTTATTTAGATGATCCACCCGGAAAAAGAACATTGTCCACTATACCTTTAAATCAGAAAAATGGGAAGTTTTGAAGTTGTAGTTTTGAGACTGAGATAGGAAAGAAAGCACAACAAACTCCAGATTTTGTAGCATATCTTAAGGGCGTAACAAGTTCCCTATTTTATTTACCAGTAGTAAAATTCAGATATTAAGGGGACATTTTGGGGTACTGCAAACAGTAACTACAGATCTGTTAGTACTTACGGTAAAAATTAGCAAATTAGAATAAACACTCAGCTATTCAATTTGTAATAAATTAACACTTAACATTTGATCAATGAACAGAATTTTTTAGGTTGTGTTTTTTCAATGTTTGAATTTAAATGTCAAAATGGTTGATACAGTTGGCCCTAGTTGTTTATGATTACAGGATTTTATTGTTCTTTAGGGTAGAAGATTACGTTTGTTTTTGGCATCTTTAGCAATTCTCCAGTATGAGGGTATAAGAGTAAGGGTTTTAGAAATAAGAGCATTGTTTGACCAAGGCTTTTGTTTATAGAAGTTATGATGAGCAAAAATCAGTGGTTAAAGAAGAAAATTGGCATATTTCATATAAACAAGATACTCAGGAAAAAATAGACCAAAATCAAACCTGAATTAGAGTCGTAGCCAGAGGAAAGTAAATAAATTTCCCTGAATCTTAAACATCCTGGGTCAAGAACTGCTCACAGTTTTGGATGTATTATGGTCTGGGCTGCAGCTGCCTCTCTTGCTACATCAATGGATTCAGGTGCTTCAGGGGAGTTTTTTTCTTCTTCTCCTGCACAGAAAATCTGTCTTGATGAAAGTTACTCATATTGGGGGATATTTTACAAATTTGGAAAAATTAAAAGCCTCCTCTAGAATCCAGCTCTTTTTGTTGCTGATATCCTTTATTTGATAGAAGACAAACAGCATGGGGCTTCGGGAGAAGCAAGAGATGCAGAAACGGTCAATGCAATTGGACTTAAATTTGTGACAGACACATCATAGGCTTTCATGCATGGATCACACACTTTACCGCAACAGCTGTCCCTCATCACTGCCTTTCCAAACCAGTAGGGCCGATCCAGGGTATTATCACACCCCCTCACCCCCCCATACATTAATCTACTTAAAAAATGAATTATAAAGTGCTGCATTTTTCATTTCAAATGATTGGTATCCATCTAGGATTCATTATTCAAACATCATTATTCATGGTCCTGGTGCCAGTTTGACGCAAAGACCAGCAAGTACCGAAGTAAACTTCTCTGAGACAAACTTATCTTTGGAGATCAAACATAAAGTTGATATTTTATCATTTATTAGATTTAATTATTTTTTTTTTTTATGTACAATTCATTTTTTTTTTCATTTATCAAAGATATTTGTTTTTGTTTTACAAGTTTTTATTTTATTTTATCGCAGTGGGAGCAAAAAAGTATAGACAACATGACACCTAAATGAACGGAACAACTTCTTTGGAAGGTTTCAGGCACTAAACAGCACTCCAGCAGTGAAAGCTGTTCCACACCAGGGAGAGGACACACTAAACCTGGACATAGCTGAAGTGAGGAAAACTCTGAAGAGAGTCAACCTAAGAAAGGCCCCAGGCCCCCACAAAAAAGAGTCGAATGTTGGCAGGGCAGGTGTTCAAGGAGTGTGCAGATCATCTGGCTGGTGTACTAACAGACATTTTTAACACCTCGCTGGACCAATCCATAGTGCCAGCATGCTTCAAGTCTGCCACCATTATTCTGGTCCCAAAGAAGCCTCATGTCTCCTCACTCAATGATTACCGGCCTGTTGCACTGACTCCCATCAAAATGAAGTGCTTCGAAAGGCTTGTTAAAGAACACATCGTCTCCAGTCTGCCGCCAACATTCGACTCGTTCCAGTTCGCCTACCGATGGAACCGCTCCACTGATTATGCCATTTCTGCTGCTCTCCACCTGAGCCTGACACACCTGGAGGAGAAGAACATCTACGCGCGAATGCTGTTCCTGAACTTCAGTTCAGCTTTCAACACCATCATCCCACAGCATCTGATGGGAAAACTGGAACAGCTGGGCTTCAATACACCCCTTTGAAATTGGCTGCTAGACTTCCTCACCAACAGAACTCAGTCAGTCCGGGTTGGACAGAACACCTCTGATGTCATCAGTCTAAGCACTATGCTTCCCTCAGGGCTGCATCCTGAGCCCCCTGCTGTTCACCCTGATGACACACGAATGCGTCCCCAGGTTCACCACCAATCACATCGTAAAGTTCGCAGACACCACGGTGGGCTTCATCAGTGATGACAACAAGCAGAAATACAGAGAGGAGGTGGAGCAGCTGGTGGACTGGTGTAAAGATAACAGCCTGATCCTGAATGTGGAGAAGGAAGGAGATCATCTTGGACTTCAGGAATAACCGTCCTAACCAAGCTCCACTGCTCATCAACAGCTCAGCTGTAGAGGTGGTCAGCACCACCACATTCCTGGGGGTGCACATCACAGACACCCTCACCTAGAATGTAAACACAACCTCGCTGGTCAAAAGGACACAAAAGCGCTTTTACTTCCTGCAGAGGATGAGGAGAGCCCACCTGCCCCCACCCATACTCACCACCTTCTACAGAAGCACCATAGAGAGCGTTCTGACCAGCTGTCTCACTGTGTGGAGGCTGCAGCGCCTCAGACTGGAAGAAAGTGAGAAGAGTAGTAAGAACAGCAGAGAAGATCATCGAGGCTCCTTTTCCCTCCATAAAAGACATTTTCCTTCAGTGATACCAACAGGACACTGTTCACAGTAAAACAGTCATCAGTGGACAGACACAACCTCTGTCCAACAATGACTGAATGAACCTTTAGGTGTCGGGTTTGTCCTATGATGTGAAAATCAGGACTGATTGACTATGAACTAGATCAGCCATGTGGGGAATTACCCTGTTAGAGAACAGCATGTTCTTTAATGAATACTGAAACACTCAATGGTTTGAAAGGTGCATGCATGTTTGGTAAAGCTTTAATCTGGTTTTATTTTGGCAGATGGCCGCTCACACTGCGCCTGGTTCTGCTGGAGGTTTCTTCCTGTCAAAAGGTAGTTTTCCTCTCCACTGTCGCTACAAGCATGCTTAGTGTAAGGGATTATTTTGATTCAATGAGTCGATGCAATCAACTGGTTTTCCTTTGATAGAAAACTTTGAATCATTTTGACTGTATGATCCGGTTGAATTGTCTCTCTAAAGTGCATCGAGATGAGATGTGCTGTGAATTGGCGCTATATAAATAAAGTTAATTGAAGTGGATTTGTACAAATGTTATTGCTGCTGAGTTGCTCCCTGAATCTTCCCCAAAATGCTGAATTTTATCCTGTAGTAGTTTGGAGTGGTGCTTGGACGAGACTGCCATAAAAACCACATGTTGTATTAAATTCTTTAAAATTGACTGGATTTACATCCTAAAAATGTTAACCGTGTTTAACATGACGTTATTCATTATTCATTATTGCTCACCTTTTAATATTTCCCAGCACGGACATTCCTTAGTCATCCCAACTTCTTTGCAGAGTGTAAAAGCCTTCTAACGCGTAGAGGGATCAGATTAATGTGTAAAGTATATTCCTCGGTCGATCGATATGAGGTGTAACAGGGAATGTCTTTACCAGATATTCTTCTCCATTCCAACACCTCAAAGCGTTGACTTCAGTCTGCAGCTGATGTGTTGCATCCTGATAACAAAGAGGTGAAATTAAACAGATAAAATGCTCAGCTTGTGATGTCAAATGAAGGTCTAACTATCAAAGAAGAAACACATCAGCAATTACTTTTTTTAATTTTCTTTTCAAAAAGTAGAGATTTGTTTAAAACAGCAAGACTGGAAGAACAGCATGAACACTAAATGACAACAGGGAGTTACCTATCATTTACACACTGAAATGATTTTCCATTGCGTTTTCCATGTCTAAATACAGGTAGTGTTGTTGACTGTGACAACATTGTAGGGAAGTGTGCACCCCAGAATATAAGCGGTTTACCTAGTCGCTGAAGCAACAGTTGATGGGATGTTTCCATCTCAATCTTAAGGTTTTATGTATAAAGTTGCTTATGGGTAATGTCTACTGAAATCTAATGTGTCATGAACCTGAACCTGCTTCTATGTCAACTGCTTCTATTTCTATTAACCCACAGTCAGCCTCAGCAGGAAGCTTTCATCTAACCATCTAAG